GATTATCATTTTTGCCATAATCGAGCAGCCCTAGTACAAAGCATCCGACATATATGAGATCAAGCCATCCATGGTCTTGTTTAAAATTTAGCGACAGTCTTGAATAGATTGAAAAAAATATTAGAACATTGCTGCTTGTAAAGAATTGTGTTTTATCAGATGCTTTGCATGCACACAAACAAACTGAGAAGCACAAAGAATGAACGCAGATATGCATGTTTCATGCTCAGTGATTTTTTTCCCACAGGCATCCAAGTACATATCTCTGCCAGCCTTGTGTTTATTAGCTGCTTTCAAAATATTCTTGTTATCTAACTGATCAATTACAAAATATTCACCACATGCAAGGTAGCCTGACCGGTCTCTTCCACTTTAAATTATGCCTTGGACTGTGTAGGAGGTTGTTTTCTCAAGTGGTTTTGATGCAGAAGCTTTAACCTAAGTTAATCACCCTTTCCGATATTAGGCTGGCATCAAAGAACTCAGTGTAATGTGAAGCAGTCACTGGTAATAACATAATCTCTGTAAACATATTCCTGCATAAAATCATGTAGACTGTCTAGGCAATGGACAACACATACTACATTTGCTCCCACAGCTCTCTGGTTTCTGTTTGTAGACATTTTGTAGGTACAGTACTGAACAATTCTGTCTGCATCCTAATGCAGTCCATGTAGAGAGCAGAAGAAGAGCGCACTGGTCAAAATACAATCTCTACTATTGTCTTGTCAGCCATTGTATGACAAGAGTTGCTTTTTATTAGCTGTTTTAATTATAAGCACATGTATACAAAGACTAGAAACACTGACTGGCATGTGGAACACAAGTGTTGACCTGGACATCGACATTATCCATTGTCTAAACATCCGCTGGCTTCATCAAAGCCCTCTGAAAATTGTTTGCTTTTCTCAGCGGCTTAAGATACCAGACAATAGCTGGTGTTTTCCCAGATTGATTGAATAATACAGTGATGCGAACTCTGGAGGTCTGTCCAGCTTTAAACCTGCATTTCTTTATTGTTGTTATAAATTAGATTTACAGTGGAGGACAAACAAAGCTTAAGCTATTTTCACACATTCTCTGCATCCCTGAACTTCTCTATGACTTACCTGACAGATGTGCCCAGATCGGACATTAGCCAATGTTTAACCTGTCAGCTCCCTATTTACAAAGTCCATGTGATGTCAGATTAACCTGATATATTCACTGCTGGTGAGTAAGTCTTATGTTTGCTGCCTGGTGCACATTCAGGTCTCTCTCTCACCTCCTTTCTCAGAGAGCAAATGCATCTGAAATGGTCAATTTTCTGTTGTGGAAACTCCAGAAAACATCCCAGCCTGATTCTCCTGAAATTGTCCAAAGTTCATATGTAAAATTGCCTTTTGTCACCAGATCTTTGATGTGAACTGGCTGTATTGAATCCGAATAGCCATTGTCCAAAACACCAGCAGCTCTTGTTTGTTACTAGCAACTGTGAGTACCACCTCCACTGTTTTCAACTGATCTGTAATTCATAATATTCTACTTTCTCGTTAAAACCACATTAAGAAATCATGATAACTACAGAAACAATCATCATCGTGAAACTCTGTCAATATAATGGTGTCAATGCATTTATATGCAAGTTTTTAGTGGACCAAATAAGAGATGTTGCCCTGAACACAAGACACTAATGAACTGAATAAATCTGATTCAGTGATTTAACTGATTTGATACTTGGTTATGTGACTGTATACAGTGCCTGCCAGCCTTTGAGCTTTGACTAAAGTGACTAGAATCAGCACAGGGAAATTTGATTTCTACGTCTCTAAAATTATACTTATGATGTTTCCTGCAAAAGAGCCTGGTTAAACAAAGTTTGCACTACCTGTCTGACACTAAAAGAGCACGTCCCGGTGACGAAAGTCAAGCTGCTTAAAATATGGATATTTTCCTAAGGATTTATTGTTGGGAACAAAACCTTCAAAAGCCAATACATGTTAACCATTTATTCTATCATAGTATCTATTAGTGTCAAGTGGACACTAATGCTGGCCAATCAAATACATGGAAGGGTCGACACCTGGCATCATTATAATTATTTACCATTTTATTCTGCAAAAAACTATAAATTGCAAGAAATCTGATGACCTGTAAGAGTTATAAAACTGCCTCAAAGAAGATATCTTACTGTGCAAAAGGCCTCCGTGCCCCCTGGTAGCAAACACACACTGAGGGCTATTTTGGGTCTGCAGTTCAAAATTAGAAAATATTACCCTGTACTCATTATGACTTAATAAGATGAAATCAGGGCAGTTCTTTCACTTCTTTTGGCCCTTAGTGGTCAAAAATGACTTAATGTAGCTTTAAATACAAGCTACAGTCCATTTACGATCTGGCCGCAATTATCATCATTCAGTGGGAAATTTTCACTATCATTCCAGGCAATTTGGACCTTCACTATGGATGTGTGAGCAGTGTAAAAACATCACTGCGCAGATGTCTGTGTGTGTGTGTGTGCGTGCGTGCGTGCGTGCGTGCGTGCAGAAAATACCGTGCGACTGGTCCTCCATGTGTCCCAGCGTTTCGATCTGCTCCACCAGGTCATTTGAGTTCCACTGACTCATCCCCAGCAGAATGGCGCTCTTCCCCTCCATAACATCTGCTGGGACACGCACACACAAAATGAAGTAAGGACACTGCAGCAAAAACAAAGGCCTGTTCTTCTTTCTGCATATCAATAATATGCCAAGTTATTGAAGCTTAAACTGATCAAAGTGAAACAACATTAAAGGCTCAACTCATTTTGTCAGAGTAGACTTCTTCTCTGTTGCTTCCTGGCATCTCACATGTTCTCATGTAAAACTTTTAGCACTTCTTCTACCACCTTACACCTGTAGCAAATGGTCGACACTCTTACATTTTTATTTTGGTTTGCCAAACAGTGTAAGTTTATGCCAAATGCAAACACATCTTAGTGTGTGGCAGCCAACAACTTGGCAAATAACCAAAAGAAAAGCATAAATAGCTATTTATGCCTTTCATCGCCACATAAGTGAATGACAGACATTGTTTATTAATGTCTAAAACATTTGGCACTGCACACATGTCTGATAAGCACATACCTTTCACATTGACTTGCTATTGTGTTATCTTAAATTGAGCAAATTGATCTTTCACGTAGCTGTTAGATGATCTGAACACCTGGAAAAGTCAGTTAATAAATTGTAGAGCAGCTGAAAGTGTGAATATTTTTAAACCTAAATTTAGAATCTAACTCTTGACTTAGGGACATAACAGTTTCTATGGCAGGGATAGTGCATTAGATAAATAATAAATACACCACTGGACCAAACCCAAGACAATATTCTGTGGTGTTAAGCTTTAAAAAGGTTATCTTATTATTGAGAACTTGGCAATTACATGTTTAAAAATAAGATATTGTTTATTGAATGGAGGACCAAGCACAGAAATGTTACTGGGATGTGTACTATCAACACAATAACTGGAAAATAAGCATCTGTAAAATGCAAAATATTTTTCAAATGCTGTTTTTTCATGCAAAATAAATGTGATCCACGAGATCCAATAACATTTGTTAAGTCAAAATGAGTCACGAGATTGTTTTATTTTTGGTGTGCGGGGAGCCAACTTGCCTGCTGTGGACCTGGCTTGCATATGCTGCCAGCATACTGTGGAGTCATTTGTAACCTTAAACCTGCCAGTTGAAAGTAAATCTCAATTTTTTGCCATTACGACCCGATTCTTGCGTTGGGCTCTTGGGCCCACTAACCTGAGCTCAAACATTTATTTAAAAAGAAATTGCATGTGATGGTAAAACAGTTCTACCAGATCCAGCTTCCTGTTTCACCAACGATGCTTGTAGCCTGCGTAACAGCTTATTAATGGCATTCTAGGAGAAACAGGCATTCTATCATGCTTCTTGCCTAGTTAGCAATGTATAGGGTATATTATATCAGTTTTATATTAGGTATGCTTTCTTTAAAACATAACTCACCACACTGTCATAGTAAATGACAGGCTCTACTCATCACAGATTGTCATCCAGGACTGTTTGAGATGGGCCCTGTCATGCATGAAGAAACACCTCTACCTGACAGACTTTTCTCCCTAACATCTTGGCTGGCATCCCTGAGAGACTCTGACGTAGAGCTACAAGCTCCGTCTATCTGGATCACACAGCAGCCAGAGTGCTGGTCACAGTTTGTCTTTTGCTATCTGCTCTGATTCTTTCACCCTCTGTGCCCCCTCTTTCCACTTCAATTACACAGTACTGGGATGAATATAATGATGCAGAAACACACACAGACACACACAAACACACTCGCAGTTTCAGACACACAGACAAGCACTAAGAAAAGGGAAAGCACTAAGGAGGAGACGCATATTTGATCCAAGCAAAGCGTTTCAGGATGTAAGAGGCCAGGTTTTTGGACAGGGGGAGAATGTAAAGTGGGTTTTACACAAAACCATGAAAACACAGGTTACTGAATATCTGTGGAAGGGAGAGCAGAGCAACAATACTCATCCAAGAGGCTCCTCTGAGAAGCAAAATGTATTCACAATGAACAAAAAAACCTCCACTTAAGCTAAAATCAGCATGGCACAGAAATAAGCTGCACACAATTTCATCTGCAAATGAGTAAAATAGTAACACCAGCTCAGGAAATCAGGTGGAGCACAATGAAATGTGCTGATAAGCAAGAGGGTAGTAAAGCCATTTATGTCCACCGCATCTCTGGCTTCTGGAGTATACGAAGGAACAGCTAAATCGGATTTGAAGAACAGGTATAAAGAGGAATGGAAGTGTGAGATTTGACTGCAGCTGACAGCCCTGAGGGAGGGAAAAAAGAGATTTAAAAACATCTCTCAACCTGTCAGCTCGCAGTCAGTTGTTGTCAGAGTGGAAGCTGCCTCGATTGACCCTGACCACGCCGGTGTTTTAACAATTCTCAATTTCTTCGTCTCATCAGAATGAGTTGGTTGCAGGAAGGGAATACCAAAATACTACTTCGGGCTTTATTTTAGGTCCATTCAACTTCCGATGACTTGCTACGAAAATGAGATTGCTTCGGGGATTATCCAACAAAATGGTATAAAAAGGATGAGTCGGGTAAGTAGGCTGCTGAAGATGGATGGCACTGAAGTATCACGCACAGCTCACATCCAGACAATAAATATGTGATCAATTATACAAAAGCCAAAAAGTGTATAAAGGATGTTTAGGCACAAGTTTATGCTTGAAGAGGAAGGTTTTAGTTTTTCATCGTGTACTTCAAAGTTATATCAGCCATCTGACTTTTTGTTGTTGAAGGCATATTAGAAATATTTAAATCAAGTCTTTTAATGTGTGAATTATCTGCTCTGTCAGTGTGACCTCCTCTTTACACATGATTTTCTTGAATTCAAACAGTTTGACAAAAGTATTGCGTGATTTGAACAACTGATTTTATCAAAAGTCCCTAAGTATCGATTCCAAATATTAAACTTGATTCTTTTCTCTGGAACTCTCAGTATGAGGTCCAACGAGTGGCTGATGAGAGTGAAGATGATTAGAGAGTTGAGAGAGACAGCAAATCCACAGAGGACAAATAAAGTGGCTGATAACCATTTCTGTGATTAAGAAAAAAACAACAACATCTAACCAAGTCAAGATCAATCTCGTAGAGGTATCATTACTAAGGTCTACAATCAAGAGACACCTGCATGAATACAGACGGTTTATGACAAGCTGCAAACCCCTGGTTAGATTAATGAACAGGAAGAACGGATTTGAATTTGCCAGAGAACACCTAAAAGAGCCTGCACGACGCTGGAGAAATTCCTCACGCAAATGAAACCAAGATTAACTTTTTAACTTGTATCAGAAAGACAAGAAGAATAAAGTATAGAGAAAGAGAGAAGCATGCTGCATTATCTGATAACATGGGGCCAGCAGGGTGCCAGTTTAGCTCGATGGGATAAGCAGGTAATCATATCTTACATAGCTGAGAGCAGCTGGCCTGGGTTCGAATCTGACCCACGACCTTTTACCACATATCTTCCCCTCTTTCTCTCCCTCTGCTTTCCTGTCACTGTACCTTTTTAAATAAAGCTGAAAAAAAGAATGGTGGCATAGCTATGGCATGTACAGCTGCCAGTGGAACTGGGTCATTAATGTTTATTGATGATCGGTCTCCTGATAGAAGTAGCAGAATGAATTGTGACATGTACAGATTCTCTGCTCAGATTCAGCTAAATGCCGGAAAACCGATTGGACAGCGTTTCAAAGTACAAATGCATAACGACCCAAGCATGCGGCAAAAGCAACTCCAGAGTTTCTGAAAGCAAAGAAGCCGGATGTTCTTGAATTGTTCTTCAAGCCCCTCTGAACATGTGGAGCTATTCTACAAAAATAGCTGTAATTCCTGCAATAATTTTGTTAAAACCCTTGAATTACAGCTGAAAGTCTGCACTTCAATCACATCTTGATTGCTGGGTTTAAAATCCCTTGTGGTGATGTACAGAAGCAAAATTACAAAAGAAAATGTCCAAATTTCAATGGACCTGACTGCAATTGTACAATCAGCTACACTAGCTGAGCTACTCAGCTTGTTCACAACTAGCGAAGTGTAGAGCTTGGCAATACATGAAAACATCTCTCCCATGCAGCCATATCACCATTCAGCCCTTCACCATAGCAACAGGGGTCGCCAGCGGTGGACATTTAATCTGACATTAGAAATCAATTTTGATTAATTATGTGATATAACCTTTTCAGAATTTAGCAGCCTTGTCACTGCTGCCCCAAAATGCTGACTGCAGTGACCCTGAAGCTGCATGATCAATATAAGCACTCACCATTACTTTGATGATGAATCTGTTCTTCTTCTTCACATCACAAACTGGGGGTTGGGGGAGGGGGGGGCAGTATAAGAGGAGGAAGTAGGTGTAGCTCCAGCAGGGGCCCTGTAATTTTTAGTGACTGACATTCTATGTCCAAAACTTACAGTTTTTTAATATTACTTTGTCTTTTTCTTTGGACAAGTAATCATCACATAAGCCCTGGAGGGCCCTAAACCAAACTAAAGATAACTACTCGATTACTACACTGTTTATTATCTCTATTAATAGAGGATGTGTCACGATCCTGGGATGTTTGACCCAGCGCTTTGAGTTTTAATATATTCTGATGTTTATGGTTTGTTTTTTAAATTCATTTAGTCATCTTAATCTCCTCGATCGCTCAGTTATCGTTCTTTGTTTATTAGACTCCCTCTGTGTCGTCACCCCCTATGTTTAAGTCTCCCTTCTCGGTTCATCATGTTGAGTCTGCTTGTCTTAACCTGTCATGTTTCTTGTCTTCGTGTCCTATGTTGTCAAGCTCGTGCCATGTCTGCCTTCTATTATGTTTTCTGTTTTATTTCGAAAAGGTCTGGTGTCCCATGTGTGTAGTTTCACTTCCCCTGTGGCGGCATTATGTTTATTCTAATCACCTGTTTCCCCATGTGTTTCCACTTCCCCTGATCACCTCCTGTGTGCATTTAGTCTGTGTGTTTTCATTCATTCCTCATCCAATCGTCTGCTATCCTGCCATGTCATGCCATGTTTCCAGGTCTTCATGTATTCAAGCCAAGTAGTCACGCTTAAGGTTTTTTCATG